TCATGAAAATGCATCTCTTGAGTCCTCTACAAAATGTTTCGTCCCTTAGGAATCCGTGTTCTGTTACATTTGTGGAGTTAAACCATACATATGCAGACCATTGGAGACCTCAGAGAGGCTTAAAGGAGAAATTTGGCTGAACAGAGTTACACAAAATGAATGCCACAGCTTAACTGGATATCTGATATGAAAGTCACCTCATCTCAGACAAAATCCACAAAAGCTCAGATTCTTTAGAAGAAGGGAAAACTTATCCGGCCTTTCACCAGTCAGGCCTATTCCCATTTTAGAAGATTTTCAAATGTTCACCCTTTCACTTCAAAGCGGTGAGGCACTGAGTACAGTAAAACTGTTCTCAAAGCTGGCCTGAGACTGTGATTTAGAAGCTCTTCCCAGTCTGCAAAGAAACTTGGACAAGGTGCCTGCATTCCTACCAGCTTACTGCACAGAGTCTCTGTGCCATGTTTTTGATCCTGATAGTCAGTGGAGACGTGTACACAAATGGAAAATCAGTACATCCGTGGGAAGATCAGAGAGATCAGTCCCAATGACATCCTGGTACAGAAAATTAACGAGGACAGTGCCCATCAAAATATATGGATAAGGATGGGGTTTTAGTAGTCATCAAGCCAGGCCATATTGCAGAAGGATGTCTCACTAGTAAAACGCATCAGCACCTTCCTCCCCCCCCAAAAAAAACATACTGTTTTTCTAGAGGTAGTTTGGTATAGTGGTTAGAGAGCTAGATTATGACTTGTGAGACCCATATTCACATCCCATAAAGGAGATCAAAATGGATACGCAAATGAGAAGCAGAGTGACTAGTGCCCTGGGTGTTGGAGAAAAATTAAAAGTAAAACCAAGTAATTAATAAAATAATGTTAATGGTCTAATGCTATCTGGAGTTGCATAAAAGGAACAATTAATAAACTATAGCATAAAAAGAATGATATGTGGAGCCTTCACCCCCACCTCAGCATGCTCTGTACCTGAATAAGGGCCACACATCCCCTTTTGATGGCATGTTGTCATAAAAAAGGGTTGTCTGGTGGAAAAAAAGGTGGGTTCCGTTCCAAAGTAAAAGGTATGTGCTCCAACATCTTCCTGGGATTTTCTTTCTTTTTATCTACTATTTGGGTGAACGACAATCCTTTGCTTGGTGTCCTGGCCACCCAGGAAACCTACGTATCTCTAATTCAGTTTTTATTTACATATGTGTCCAGAGACAGTGCATGTACCTAGAAGAAACCAGACATTGGCCCAGTGCTTCCCATGGTGCCTTTATGTCTCCTGAGAAATGTAGGTGTGCCAGAGAAGGACCATTGTATCTCTCTCTTGTACCTGAAGAGAATATAGAGTCTACTCCCATTACTTTTCATAAGTACCTTGTGGAACTTCTTCCACCATAGATATGATGGAGATTATTTGAGAGTGAACAAGCACTTAGTAATCTTAAAAACCAAGGAGGAGCTACATAGTTAAAGAGAACTATACTGGTCAAAAAGATCCTAGAGTGGGGTGGATAACATCCACCTTACAGGCCAAATACAGCACATGGGTAATCCTTGTATCTCTACAAGTTTCTTTTTGAGGGTCAGGGAAGGGGGTCTTCTTCCAGAAATCTAAGTGTTGCACTTAACCTTCTCTAGAACATAGAGAGCCACTACGGTTCTCCACCTATCTCCAAAATATTTTTTCTCTCTAACAGTGGTCTTTTTAACACTGATAAAAGCGCCCTCATGCCTTCTAGTGGCCAGATTTGGAGTTTTGGAGCTGAGAGGTGAAAACATTGCCTAACAAGCTCATCCAAGGGGACTTCTTCAGCAAAAGAATTTTGATCAAAAGAGGATTTTTTTTTCCAAGGGAAAAAAATTAGAAAATAACCCATAAACATTTGGAAAGAGGTAATAAGTGGCTGCCTTTGTACTCTTGGGGTGGGCACATGTGACCCAAATGTACATATTGCTACCACTGGCTCAGAAGGAAGAGGCTACAGTATTTAGAAACTTCATTAAGTAGATGGGACAGGGATTGGTGAAGAGATAAGAGTGTTTTCCACATGCATTTATTTATCACATTTACATAGAACATCTTGCTATTAATGTGCTTCAGGGAGCTAAATAATCATAATAACCAAAGTTGCATATAGCAATTGCATCAAATCACTACAGATCACAACAGATCATGGTAGAGATGAAAACCTTATGATCCCAAATCATAGTAACTTGGTAGAAAATGTTAAGATTTTTGTTCTTTTTGCTGACCATCAATACTGACTGACTGCACAGCAAAGGGAGGGCACTTCTTCAAATCACTAAGCAGGAATATGTTATTCTTTTGAGTCTTTCCAAGTGAAAAGCACACTATTGGGATGAAATATCGCATAGGTATGGTTGCAGTGAGCCATACTGTGTATATTTAAATAGGGGAAGAAAAGAAGCGTAGGAAAGAATTCCTGATAGGTTGTACAGAAGAAGGTGAAATCTCTTCAGACATTAACAGCATTTTAGAAATTTTCCTGTATAGTACAACCATTACCTTAAATAGCTAGAAAGCTGGGAGCAATTTATTTATTGGAAAGATTAGTGCCTACCCATTCTCGGGTATCTCTGATTTGAGGAAGGCTCAAAGCATTTTTTAAAAATGAAAAAGAAAATAGAATATACCTTATACAGAAGAAGTGGAATTGCTTCATTGTGGATCGCCATACATAACTTCATTCTGAATTAGCTTTGCCTGTTCTTAGTGATGTAACTGCAGAGCCAAACCTGCTGTATTTACTTATTAAATTTGTACCAGCCTTTAACTCCCCCCACCATACAGAGAGACAAGAGAGAGAGATTGTCTATATAATGACACCACATTTAATAGGGTAAAGAAAGCACAGCTGAAAAGCGTGTGCTAATATGACACCAGAACAGTCCCTGTGGTGAACCGCTGTATAATATGAAAGTTTTAGAGGACCTGTGAGGGAATACTCCAAAGCCCTGTGAAGTTCCCCCTTTTGCCCTAAAAATTCTGCCTGGTGCTAGTTCAAATGCCTTATTGATATAGTGTCCTGCTTCTGAACCCTCACTGTGAAAATAGATTTGGACTGAGTTAAAACAGATTTGTTCCAACCCAAGAAAAATCGGCTCTAGCTCTGTAAAACATAAAAGGTAAAATAATCTCTCTCTAAAAGAAAGAGCATTTTGTTCAGTGCTGTCTCGCTCATCACTGATTCTGACTGTGAGGCAGCCGGGTTGAGCTGTACCCAGGCTTTCCGCGTGGGGAAGCAATTTGTCACGTGTGTCAGGGACTAAGTCAGGTTCATGTTTCAATCATTTGCAGTGGTTTGTCTGGCTGAGAGTAGGGTGTTGAGCAAAGCGATATGGAAAAATAATCACCCGCCTGGGGAGAGGCAGGTTTTTGCACAGACTCGACCAAGCTATTCCTTGTTCTCCTGCTGTGACGTGTTCAGGGGCTGAGAGAGGCCAAGCGGCCACTGGGCATCTTCAGAGAAAAACCGCATCACTCGGATTGTGCTCTCTCTTTGTTTACAGAATTTCTCCAGCTGTGCACCCAGCACTCCTCCTCCTCCTTGCTTCTCCTTTAAAATCCTACATTTCTGTTCTTTTCATCGAGCAGTACAAAACTTTAAGTGTTTATGCCAGTCTCTCACATGAGCTCTTAGAGATAACCAACACTGTGGTTCTCTTGTGTCCAGAAAAGAGATTTTCTCCGTGTTACTGAATATGTCTAAAGGTGCCCCAGACAGCTGGCAGACGGGTGTCTTCTGACCTAGCTGGAGTGAATCAATGTAGGGCTCAATAACTTTTCCATACCGTACTAGAACTGGCCGCCCACCATAAGGCAAAGCTAGACAGCTACCTCAGGTGGCAGTTGCAGGAGGAGGGTAAAAAACAACACCAAGGTGTCGACAGTCAGAGGTGTATGTGCCACGTACAGCCCCATAAGTTTGCTCCTTGCCCTTTGGTGCTCTACAAGATCTCATCCTGCACCAGAGCTGAAGTAAAGTTCAACAACTAGTCCAGTTAACTTCCATATGTGGAATGAAGGGGAGAGGTGTGCCATCTTGTCCATTGCCTTATGCAGTAAAAATATCTTGTGCTAATCCTGTATAGGAGCCGAGAATGACATGCTAATTGGACATGTGAGCAGGACTATGCTGGGGGAAGCCCTGCTTTCACGTCATGTGCCCCACTTTTCTCCTCCCCTGCCCCCTGATATGCCTCACTCTGATGCAATAATCCAAAAAGGACCCAGTGAGCATTGCTTTACATGTAACTGATTCCTTAGATGGTGCAAAATGCTGGTGGCTCCTACTTAAACAGATTCTTGTCATAGCCATCAGTAGTTGAGGGATTCTAGGAGTCATCATTCAAAATGCTAATATTTACAAAACTCTGCAAACACTTCCAAGCAACTGATGATGTAGAAGGCTTCCTTTGTACAGTTATGTATGGGAAAACTACAAACTTGAAAAGGTTAAATTTTGGGTGCAGATTCTCAGAATCCACAGTCACTGTGGCCACTGGCTGTGCTAGAGTAGGAGTCTGGAAGCTGTAGTCCAAATAAGTAATGCTTTCTCAAACTGTGGTGTGGACAAGTATGGTTTGTGCAGTCCCCAAAGCCCTGATTGCAGCAGAGACCGCTGCTTATGCTCACATTAAGTGCTATGAAATCTGTCCAGAAACCTTGAGGCGTGCTATTCCATCCAGTTCTGTTGCACACAGCCAGTTCAGGTCTGTATCGTATTCATGTGAGTCACAAACGGAATATTCAAAGCATTTCTATTAATCAGTAGCCAGGAGGGAAAAAGGGATAAAAAGAATTAGTCGAACAGTCCCACTGAAATTCAAAGAGGTTGCTTTCCCTAAAACACAGTATTTGGCCACTAATCCAGACAGACGGCATAAAAAAGGAACAAGGCAGGATATCTCAGGGCAAAGCATAGAGAATGTGAGCCAGGGCTGCATTTAGGTGTCCTGCTGGCTTACCTCGCTCCATTATGTGACCAGGGATTCTTTCTTCTAGCACATGATCATTGTGGGAACTGAAAAACATCTCCTGTGTCCTCCATTTGCTCTCCAGTCTTCTCCTTGGTTCTTTTTATGCACCTTCAGGGAGCTTCTGGTGGAAGGGAGATAAGCATTTTGACTGCTCAGTATTTGTGTGTGTGTGTGTGTGTTTTCCTCTCCTGCTTTATATCACTATATATAAAAAAAACTTTAGGCTGTCTTTCCACTAAGCTTATCTCCTCCCTGATTTCACCTGAAGACAAATGTTCCTACTCTCCTCCCACAATTGATTTTGAAGGGTTTTGCTTTTAAAAACACATCAGGATCCCTTTAGCTTTAGAAGACAACCTGGATTCTTTTGAAAAAAACTTCAAGGTCTGTTTGGACTCAGAGTTTAGAGCTATTCAATATTTGCCTGTCCTTCTCTCCCCTGCTGTTGGTTTCCCAGGCACCTTCTGCTATCAACAAAAAACCAAAAGGCACAAGCAGTAGATGTTGTTGTTATGAACCAGCAAGTCACTTCTGACCTGTGATGACCCTATGAATTAATGACCTCCAGGAGATTCTGTTGGTAGCAGCCCTGTTTAGATTTTGCAAATGAGAGGTCCTGGTATGTATTCTTGAAGGCTTTCATGGCTGGGATCTGATGGTGGTTGTGGGTTTTCCGAGCTGTTTGGCCTTGCTCCGAAGGATTTTCTTCCTAATGTTTTGCCAGTCTCTGTGGCTGGCATCTTCAGAAGACACGAGTTAGAACTCTGTGTTCTGGTGTAGTGTGTGGGATAGTTGAGTATTTGTAGCTGTGGGATCAGCTTTTTGTCCTTTTCAGGAAATTGGGTGATTAAACCGCCCAGAAAACCCACAACAACTATCGAAAGGTCCTGGCTTTGTGTAGTGAATCCCTGCTGAACTTCAGCTTGCCATTACAAAAGCCAGTGGGTGACCTACTGTAATGAACAGGGCTTTCCCTGGGGCAATGAAGTACCAGATGCCTCCTTACACAAGGCTAGAAAAGGCCCACCGTTGTGGACAATGGGAAGGGATTTGGGGTCACCAAGCAGTAATGGAAGATGCTGACCTAAGTGTATATTTACATTTATAATAACCAATAATAAAATAGTCATTTTGCAAGTGGTTAAGGTAATACAAGCTTATGCTAGAATCACTTTGCCATGACTTTCTGAATATGTACTAACAGCATTTTGGCTAGTCTGAACTATGGCTTTGACTTCCATCTCTCCCCGCCCCACCTCTTTGTCTCTGCTTCTCTTTGAATACAGCCAGCTTCTCCTCTCTGTTCAAATGACTCCATTCACCTGCCCTGCCATTTAAAAAAAAATTTTACTAATAAAACCCACTAGTATGTAAGTTGCTGTGGCAAATTGCCACTAATTACCGTAATGAGGCCTACCCCTGTAAACTTGTTAACAGCATCCTAACTAAAGTTTTGGATCCATTGTGAGAAATAGGTACCAAAGAGCTGCCAGCTTCCCTGCAGATTACAGATCTTGTAGCATATCACCAGGGACTAGAATCTGAAATTCACTTTTATTTATTGTTCTTTGCATAAGTGATAAGTGTTGATACATTTTAACATGCTGGTAAGCATACATAGCATATGTAGAGTGCTTTTGAATGTTCAAATGATTTCACATATTTCTTTCAATAATTATTAGCAGATCAATGCTATTATTATTCTGCAATATTTCTGCTGTTGAGCAACTTGCTCATCCAAAATCTTAAGCTTGTTTTCAGCGGTGCTGTGAAGGGAACTGGGTAATGTACATAATGTGTGAATCTTAAGTTAAAGCAAACCTGTAAGATTTGGTTTTTTTGGTACTGTAGTTCATCACTCCATTGTAGGAGTGTGTGGGCCTGGCCTCTTGGCCTTCTGGTCTTGTGCCACAGTAGGCACATGGAACATGAAGATGTATCTGTAAAGATTCTTAGTCATCCCGGTGAGGTTTCCTGGAAGTGGAGTCACCTCTTTGTCTCTGCTTCTCTTTGAATAGAGCCAGCTTCTCCTCTCTGTTCAAATGACTCCATTCACCTGCCCTGCCATTTAAAAAAAAGAGCTGAAGGAAAAAGAAGGTTACCTGTCTAAGGAACCATTGGCAGCAGGTGAACTCCCATTATGTCTAGCTATTTTGGTTTGGCTGACCTCTCCTGCTTCAAATCAGATGAATGGGAAAAGAAATCTCACGGTTTGTCCACAGTGGCATACAAGGTCCCTGTAGTGGGGATCACAGCCTCAAAGCCAAATTCTGCCTGTGGGAAATAAAATGTCATCTCCAAACCATCAGTTTTTACTGCACTGCCACTGCTGGCCATCATCAGTTAGTCTGAGCCCACCTGTCAAAATTCTGCATTGAGAGCATGTTGCACGACATGTACTTATAACTGTAGCTACCTCTGAATGGCAGAGAAGAAGAAAAGGTGTTTGGTGAGGAAATTGTGATCCCCCCCCCCCATGGACAAGCAACTTTTAGATGTTCACGAATGCAAATTCCTGTCCCTGGTGGCACTCCCACAGCTTCTGTACACCTAAATCTTTCTCTCTGTGTCTTTTTCCCTTTCTTTCCTTCTTTCTGAAAAAGCACACTTTTATCCTTTAGTGAGGCTTAAAACACACACCCACACCGTTTGTCTCCATATTCCATCGAGAGCAGAAGCAAAACTTCAAACCCTGACCCCAGTTTTAAAAAGAAAATGTTTTGAGGAGGTTTGGGACACTGAAGTCCACAGCAGTGAGCTCTTGGAGGTAGTATGCTATTTGGGACCTGCACTGTGCCCACCCCTCATTTATTCAGACTCTTCCACTTAAACATCTCTTGAATCTGGTGACGTGGATCTGATGAAGTGGGCTGCAGTCCATGAAAATGAGTAGGACAAAGGACGGGTGTGTGTCTGTGTGTGTGTGAAAGTGAAAATCCCACTTCTACAGTCCTTCTCTACCCATTGTCATGGGTCATCAACGGTCGTTAACAGTGGTCTTTCTGGTATGTGTGGTTCTAATCTTTCTGGGGACATGAGGATAAACAGTATTCTTTTCAATGTGTCAGTGCAGTAGCTGCCTTAGGAATACTTTCCAGAAAGGAAGCTTGGAATGTCTTCATCTAGTTCTACTATGTTAGAAGAGCAACCAGCAGTCAATGTAATTTGTAGATTTAATCCCCCAAAATGGGAATTGTTCATAGAGCACATGTATGCCAATGGGATGAAATAACATCTACACTTCATATTCCAAGAAACCAAGAAAGCTAGCGGCTGGATTCCAGTTGGTGATTTATGAATGGATAAGTGAAATTCTATAAGTTGTAGTAGTGAATTGCTGCTAATTAATAAGATGCCTGTTGCATTCCCGGTTGTATGTTCCTTGACTGGGCACATGATCAAGATTTTCAGCAATGCACACATGAATAGCATGTAAGGAGGTGATCAGTTAAGCATTTAGTTTGTTATTTGCTTTGCTTTTGTTATGGTTTGGTTCACCCTATTTTTGAATGACCATATGTGTTTTAACCGAGAGCAATCCATCCTGCCTCTTTTGCAAACTGTTCTGTTCCTTTCTAGCACAATGTTAGGACTGCAGTTTATTTGGTGCGATTGGGAGAACTCCTGATTTTCCCATTCTGTAATCTGTTTGGTTAGTTTTTTCTCTGCCAAATACAGCTGTGGATACCACTGTATTTGGTGACTCCTGTAACATGTGCAATGGGTTGTGACAACAGAAAGAATGATGGAGAAACCCTCTCCTCTATTTTCCTTTTCTCAGAATTAAAAAAAATAATATTCCAAGCGACACAGCTGTTTCAGATATAAGGAAGTATCTATACTAGGATGATGTATTGCTGTAGTGCTATGCCACTTACTAAATTAGGCAGCAAAGAAAAAAGGGACATTGCTGTAGCTTGCAGAATGACAGCCATGACAAAAAGTGGAGAAAGGGGTGCGGGAGGTAGCATCAAAAACTGAAAGAGGGGAAAAATAGGAGCGATCAGAAGTGCTATCTGGATCTTTCTCATGAGCTGTCTTCTGTGTGAATGGAAGGATCTCTTAAGTATGAAGCAAGATAGATCACACCAAAGATAACAGTCACAACCTGAATTACTCCAAATTCCATTTTATAACCTAAGATTCTGGCTAGTGTTAGAAAAATGTACTGATATAGGAAAAAACAATAGAAATCCTAGTTTTGGCTGACAGAGGTGCTAGGTCGGTAGTATTCTATTCTTTCAGATTTCTGGATCAAAAACTGAAATGAGGAGTGTTGGTATGTTTGGTGCCATCAAGTTGGAACCAATTTATAGTGACTCTAATAGGGCTTTCAAGATAAGTGAGATATTTAAGGAGTGGTTTTGCCACTCTCCCAGTCAGTTTTCATGGCTGAGCAGGGATTTGAACCCTGTTTTCCAAAGTCCTATCCTAGTACTCTATCCACTACATGAGGAATAGGTGGAGTTTTCCCCCAGGCTTTGCAGCTGCATGGCCAGAGCTTGTGCAACATCATTTGAACTGTGATGCTGCTTTTCTCCTCCTAGCCTTGCTCTTAAAGGCAAGAAGGACCTGAACCGGGTGCATCAAGAAGCCAAGGGTGAGGGCAGGAAACTGTAGAGGGCTAATGGGTGCATACACTTGGGCCATTCATGCTATTTGGAGTAAGACACAATGCTCTTACCATTGCACCAGTGGGTCCTGATGTCTACTGGGAAGGGATGAATATGTGTGCCTAGGCTTCAATTACCTTCATCCCAGAAATGGAACCCAAGCTGGCTCCTGGAGCCCAAGGCAACTTTTCATTTAACAAAACAGAAGTAATCCACATATACAGTGGTGCCCCGCATTATGACATTGATTCGTTCCAGCGAAATCGCTGTAGAGTGAAAATGTTGTAAAGCAAAATAAAAAAGCCCATTGAAACGCATTGAAAACCCCTCAATGCATTCCAGTGGGCTGAAAACTCATCGTCCAACGAAGATCCTCCATAGGGGCGGCCATTTTCGGGTGCCTGCCTTGCGAAAAATGGCTCCTAAACACAGTGGGGAACCATTTTGAGCAGCTGACGATCAGCTGTTTTGATCGTTGTAATGCGAAGAATTGGTTCCCGAAGCAGGGAACCCATCATCGGGAAGCGAAAAAAGGCCATTAAAACATCATTTTGCGATTGCATTTGCGATCACAAAAACATTGCCATGAAGTGGATTCATCGTTATACGGGGTAATCATTAAACGGGGCATGACTGTACTTGATGGGACAGTGTACAGAAATAGGTTGATATCATTTCAGAACTTCCCACATTGTCTAGTCCTATACAGACTTAACTAATTTCAAGACAGTTGAAATCCCTTAGTGTACTTTGTATTGCATTAAGGTGGCAACCATGCACACAATAACCTTGGAGTAGATGTCAATGTGCATAATCTTCCTCTTCAAAGCATAATCCCGTGATAGAGTTTCAAAGTGGTACTCAGGAGGCCTGAGTTCAAATCGCTTCTTGGTCAGAACAACTCACGTGATGGTGGTGGTAAACCAATCTATGGTAAACCAAGAGTTAACATAAGTTGGAAGAGACTTGACAACATATAACAACAAACAAGCAGCTGTACTCATGGAGTCAGTAGCAGGGATGGAGGGAAGGCAACCTGTGGTCTTCTAGCTGTTGTTGGACTACAACATTCATCCGTACTAACCAGCATAGCCAATGAATGAGGAGAGAGGATAGGAGCAGTTGCAATTCAATATTTATTTATTTATTTATTTATTTGATTTATATCCCGCTCATCTGGTAAATCTATACCACTCTGAGCGGCTATAATATCTACACACTCGCCGGTTGCCTATTCTGGGATTACAGCACTAGTATGTGTTTTTTAGGATATCAGCCTTAATTATTAAGGGATAAAAATACCGATGTAGACCCAGTTGCTTACAACAAGTGTCAGCGAAGCATGTGAATCACCAAGTAAATGTAGGTTGGATTGGTCATGGCCTACTTGGGTCAAGAGCCCTTGTAAATTTTAACATATGTGCCTAATAGACATGGTGGGATGATGAATGGAAGTGTCTTTGTCCGTTCTTCCTTTCACCCATGTGTACCTGTGTGACTGTGGATTCCTCAAAATTTGCTTCATTTATTCATTCTAGTTTCCAGAGGCTTATTTTTCTTCTTCTTAAAAACCAGTCTGTGGAAAGCCAGCCAATAATTGAGTGGAATTATTGGCAAAAATAATTCAGATGTGGTTTGTTTAATTGGTTTTTTATAAACTATATGTTCTTGTCTGCATATATTTTCACGTTTAAGTACTGCAACTGTTTGCAGCTCAGAAAGAACTGAGATCACTCAGTAACCCTTGGGGAGTATTCAGTTCTCATTTGGAAAAAAAATGACCAATTTTCCTAATTGAAGCTGTATGAATTTAGGTGTTTGGGTTTACTTTTTGGCTCAGAGGCAAAATTATGTCAGAAATATGGCTACAAATGAACAAGGAGAAGTTTGTGGCAGAAGGAGAGCTGACATAGAGAATGCTGTGCTTACACAAAGAAAGCCTTTAGATTAGCTATAGGAATTAAATACTTCTACTTAGAAATTAGGAAGTAGCATAATTTGACAAGGTGCAAAATGATTAGGGGATAGCTAGCAAAGTTTTTCTTAGCTTGTGTTCAATTGCAGATTAATTTATGGATGTTGGAGAAATCTTGTAGAATGGGTCACTGCATTTCTTCGGGCTTGTTCATACGACAGTTTGGGAAAGTTACTTTTTAAACTACTTTTGCTCAAAAGTAAGCCCACTATCTTCAGTGGTCTTTACTTCCTAGTAAGTACTTTTAAATTGGCTGCTAATTAGTTCTTTTTTGTGTGAAAGCAGACATAATTTAAAAAAAGAATTTGTTGGACGAGGGAAAGGAATGTTCTTGGAAATCAGTGTTAAGAAATGACACACACTGTACAATTAAATAGATCCTCATGGAAATAAATTGGTTAGCCTTGAAGCTGCCACAACTGTTTTGTTTCTGTTTTATACAGTAGGACCCTCATATCTACAGTGAATGCCTGAAACTGTGGACAATAGCAAACCCTATAAAGTGGTGATTTGGCAAAGCATCTCCCCCCTTGCCTCCTGATTCATGTGGAAGGACTAGGAGATCACACATACACAAACACACGCGCGGTGCCAGCACTCACCTCTCTCTACAAATCCCTTCTCCCAAGACACTTGATAGCTTTTCCTGGGCAGAGCTGCTGTTTGTTTTATTTTATTTATTTGTTAAATTTATACCCTGCCCATCTAGACCAAAGTCTACTCTGGGCGGCTAACAACAATAGATAAAATAAAAACAATATAATATAATAAAATAAACAACCGTAGTACAGTAATATAGCTCAAGATTGGGAAAATATTCAAGTGATGATGACAGAGCGATTGCTGTCTCTATTTACACATGAAACAGTAACATGGTCAGTTCAACAAAAGAAAAGCAGTCATTTTAGGAACAGAAACAAACAAATAAACCAGGTTTACTCTGTTGTGCAAGCTATAGAAACATACAACATTTGGGTTCAAAACATTATAATTCATTAATATATTTGCAGTAAGATGGTTTTGCTCTTAGATTCCAAAATAATTTATACTGACAGAAAAGGTAGTTCATTATGTATACATACCTGGACCGAGTCTTGAACTCTCAAATCTCAAACACTGAAGACAGCTTAAAAATCACCACCATCCCTATCCTCCCTATTTCCTCACATTATACATAGAGGTTCCAGCTCCCTTTACTCCCTTGAGCAAATCACAGTTTGCTGTTTAATTATTTTGGTCTCATTTTTCAGAGCAAGCATAAACTATATTTGACTTGTTCAGATAAAAAAGCAGACTATGGTTTGCCTTATTATTTTTTTACAGCTTAACAAGCTGTACTCCTGGCAAGATAAACTGAGGAAAAGAGTGACTGAGGAAGAGAATCAACCACTCATTTCCTCTTAAGGCAGTTCAACTTAAAGAGCCTACAGGCACCTCAAAGAGAACTGGAATTAGAAGGAATTTTTCTTCTCTGTCTGTGTCCTCTTAAATCAAAAAGAACTCAATCTCTGGTTCACAGCAAAAGAACGAGAGTTAATTCACATTGCCTTTGCTGTGTCGTCGCACCCTAACGCATCTACCTAATTGAAAAATGCAGTGAAGCTTTTCTTGACTTCTTTAGGAGTGGACCACTGATGGTTGTCCAGACGTTCTTAGAATATAATTCCCATTATCCCTCACTATTGATTATGCTTTCTTGGACTGATGGGAACTGCAGAATGGCAATATCCAGCCAGCCACAACTTGCTCGTTACTGTTCTTCTGTCTAAATTACAGCATTATTGCTTAATTAATTAAAAGGAAAGGAATGTTTACCCAAGTCTGTCTAAAGGTTGCACATAACTTAATGGTTCCAACATGAATCCTAATGTGCAAGGGCTAATTGTATTTATTTATTAGTGAGAAAATCGTATTCTCAATCACTGTAGTAACAACAGTTAGCTACTGGATTTCAGTACTGCTTAATCAGTGAAGCTGTCTGGGTAATTTAGAAAACAGATCTAAAACCATAAAATGAAAAACATGCAGCTTCATGTAACTTTCCCAATAAAAGCAGCTGCAAATAAAACAAATCAAAGTAAAGCCAACAGTAGTTAAAGATCAAAAACATATGCCTTTCTGGGCTGAGTCTTGGCACTGAAAATAGTTTCTAGACTCCAGCACTGAGTCCTGACGGATCCTTATGTAAAGCAATTCAGTTGCTTAGCACTGTAATTGTTGCAGTGAGTGAATAGCTAAGATGTATATTTTTCATCTTCTAATTATTAGTGATTGAGTTTATTTGTAATATAGAATTATCACTCACTGGGACCTTATGGGTCATTGCAACAGGGACTGGGAGGAAAGCAAGTGGCATAAGCCAATGGTGTGGATCCAGTCTCCTGATTTACACATGCGTAAGTAAAAGCATTCATGTTGTGGTGGCAAATTGCCACTAATTAATGAGGCAGTGGTAGTATTCCTAGGAGCATGTCTGATCACAATAGCCCACAAGTGAGGAACAGGAATTATGACTTGTATACGTACTTTGTGGGCGAATAAACCTGCAAGAGGCTTTTGTTAACACTGCACATCTAGACAAAGCTTCTACAGTATTCTGCTAAAGAAGTGCATTTGAGAGTTGTCAGAAATGATTGGCTCTGTGAGGTTAGGGATGTAACACGTATTCAGCAATTTGTTTGATGGTGTTGATTTTTAATATTTTATCCCAGTGAGGAATCTATCTCCCATTCCCGCATGGAAACTGAGAGATTTTAGGTGCATTGGGCAAAAATGCTGAACACTGTGTTGTTGTTTTTCTTGTTATTGTTTGTTTGTTGCTGCTGCTGCTATTGTATACCTTCTTAATGATTTCCTGTGCGGGATCAGTTTCAGAACCGCTTGGGCCTGAAGTATCATCCTATGCAAGATTTTTGTAACTCTTTGTTGCTGTTCTCAATTTCGGGCCCTTAGCCTGGTCAGTTTCAAATGGCCACCACCCTTTGTAATTGACTGGTGTATGAGCCTGAAACTGACAAAAGAAAAAAAAAGGTACATAAATCCTGCCCAGTATAATATTTCAGGCACAAGCAGTGCAGTGACTGATACATTTGATCTTCCACAGGAAATCAATGAGAAGGGCAGATATTCTTATGTTCTGGGGCAGGTCAGATAGGTAGCATAATGGTAAATTCAGAATACAGTGGGGTCTTGACTTGAGAACTTAATCCGTATTGGAAGGCGGTTCTCAAGTCAAAAAGTTCTCAGGTCAAATCTGCATTTCCCATAGGAATGCATTGAGAACCATTTGATCCGTATCTGCTCTTTTCCGTCCATAGAAACTAATGGGAAGCTGCTATTCCGCCTTCGACCACTAGAGGGGGATATTTTGTTTCTTTTTTTCTTAGGTCAAGAAAGGTTCAGGGACGGCAGGGAAAATACAGTCCAGGCAGTACCAGGCAGCCTGAAGACTGTCTCCCAATCCACTCTCTAAACGCTGGGAGGAGTGAGGAAGCAGACAGGCACCCTTTTCACTGGCCAACAGTTAACTGAAAGTTCAAATTTTGCACTTTCCCTGCCTCCCACATGGTTTTTTTTTCAGTTCTTAACTCAAATCTAAGTATGTAAGTCAAGTCAATATTTTCCTGTGAGAGCGGTTCTTAAGTCAAAATGTTCTTAACTCGGGCCGTTCTTAAGTCAAGACCCCACTGTACTGTGTTAAAATATGGTGTGTTATAGTATAAGGTTATAATGTAGCAACAATCTGAACCCCACAAAATAGGAATAGTCAGGAAAAGGGAGCCATGATTGTGATCCATTCGTTGAGCATTCATTTTTTGCTTGCATAGCGGTAGGTAAGATTTATCTAGGTGCTGATGAGAATCCTGGGAGAAAGAAATAAGGGGCTGCAGGATTTTTCCAGAAGATACTAGGCTGTATTTGCTCACCAGGACATACTGGGGGAGGGAGGAAAAAAGGCAGAAAATCATAAAGCTATTGACTTACAGCCTAACAATCTAGCCTGTATTTAACACTAATAACAGTAAGTTAGTAACTTCTTTCCATAAAATAACATGGTGAAAATATGGCAGTTGATGTACTTTTGCATCGGCTTTTTCTGCTTCTTGTAGAGGTACCAGAAATAAATGAATAAACCTGATACAACAGCAGGTTTTTGTTTTTTTTTAAAAAAAGAAGAGTGCCTGACTGTAGTAAATTGTTCTCACTTATACACTGAAATAAGGCTTGTCCAGCTGCCAACTAATTTTAGCTCTGAAAGTCAGCTTTCTCCCTTACTGTGCCATATGATGGGGGAAGAGGAATATGACATTGCTGCAGTAACACTGTTAAATCACAACATGGGGTGGGTGTGGGAATTTCCTTGCATTAAAAGGACTTTGTGCAGTAACATAGAACTTGCAGTACTGAGAATAACCACGTTTTGAAAAGGAGATAGACTTTTACATTGTATTTCTCAAAGGCTATGTTTCCTGGGACACATCAGAAGCATTAAAGAAGTATTTTGATTTATTATTCTAAACATACAAAAATACATCTACTGAACTCAATGGAGTTTCCTTCTGTTTAAATGTGTTTAGGATTTCTCTGTTCTTCTGTATTTCTAGGTACTTCTAACTAGGTCTAGCTAGAAGTTGCTAGGTCTAGCTATTTGAAGTTGCAGGCTATAATGTGCATCTTCAAATGTGTGTGTGTCTGTGTCTGTGTGTGTGTGTGAGAGAGAGAGAATAAGTATGCCTTCCTTCTGTTTGAAACAACAAGCTGGAATTTGAAAGCATGACTGAATGTTTCAAACTCTCACTGATTATTTCCCCTTTTGTTCAGAAAATCGTCAAGACTTCTTCCTGGAATTCTTTCAACTTGAAATTGAATGATGAAGCTGCTATATATTGCTCCTTTTCTTTTGTTTGCATTCACAACACTGGAAGCTCGACCAAAGTTTTTAGGTAAGCTGTCAGCCAAAAGTGTATATATCACCACCAACAAATACCAATTGAATAAAATATTTAATAAATGTGTGTGTGTGTGTGTGGACAATAATCCAGGAATTTACTGGCATAGGTAGTGTGCCATCTTTTTGGCAAACGAAGTGGTTTGCTCCCATTATTACAAAGGAGTGTGCAAAACATGCTTCCCCAGGAAAAGCAGAGAGGGCTCTTTTTCACATCTTAGCAATGACTGGTTGGAATGTGAGAACGGGCCTTCTTTGTGACTGTTCCTCAGTTGTGGAAATCCTGAGAAAAGAGGGATCTTCTGTTTCCTACCTAGTTAAAAGGTTCCTCTTTTTAGCAGACATTTGATGTATTAGGTTAAATAATTGCCCCTTGTTTTAGGGTTAAATGCTCAAATTCTGTGTTTTAAATATTTATGGGTTTACAGGTTATTTTGAATATGTTTAAAGCTGTACTGAGTAGTGCTGTGTTCACAATGAAAATGAGGGATATAAATATTCAGAGAGAGGGGGGGGAGGGAGGAAGGAAGGAATGCTCTTTTCTCTTTCTCTCTCTCTTAACAATAGTTAAATGGAATCTTTCGATTTCTTTTTCTTCCAGAGTCTAAATGTAAGACTGGTCCCCTGGACATTGTCTTTGTGATTGATAGCTCACGCAGTGTTCGTCCCTTTGAATTTGAGACCATGCGGCGCTTCATGATTGACATAATTCACAACCTGGACATAGGCCCTAATGCCACACGGGTTGGAGTGATCCAGTATTCCAGCCAGGTTCAGAATGTCTTCTCCCTCAAATCCTTCTTCACTCGGGCTGAAATGGAGAAGGCCATCAACAGCATTGTCCCATTGGCCCAAGGCACGATGACGGGGTTGGCGATACAGTATGTCATGAACGTGGCCTTTACCCTGCAGGAGGGTGCACGGCCGCTGCACAAGAAGATCCCTCGGGTGGCAGTGATTGTAACTGACGGACGGCCCCAAGACCGTGTGACGGAAGTGGCAGCTCAGGCCAGAGCAGGCGGCATTGAAATCTATGCAGTGGGTGTGCAGCGGGCAGATATGAACTCCTTACGGGCCATGGCTTCTCCCCCACTGGAAGAGCATGTGTTCTTGGTGGAGTCCTTTGACCTCATCCAGCAATTTGGGAAGCAGTTCCAGGACAAGCTGTGTGGTGAGTGATGGGATAAAAGTCCTTGATAAAGTTTGAAGAGTCTTCCTGTGAGAGATCAGAAAGTGAGGGAACTTTTGTCCCTGGAATTACTCATCCTTCTCTTTGATATATTCCCTTTTTGAGGAGAAACCATAGCAGTTGGGGTGACCTGGTATTTGAGTGGGAGAAGGCATCTACCACCCAAAATGTTGGAGTGGATGATAAGCCTCTGGTGTTATCCACACCACTAACCTATATGTTTTTCAATTCAGATTTCGACTTAAGAAGATGGCTAAATATTTTATAAGTAGTATGCTCCCCCTCCCTTCATGCTAGCTTCTGGAGAATGTGGGCAGAAGGGTGCTATTTTACTCATTTTGGCTTCTCATCAGGACATCCGTTGGTAATTGTAGGGAAGAGAATGCTGAATTAGATAGATTTTTTTTAAAGCTAATTGAGCTTTTATTTATTTTCTTCAAACTACACATCCACTAACTAGTATAATACATTGGCCCAATGTAGTTTCTTGATAGTTCCAAGTAGAACAGACCCCTTGAATTAGTATGGTTTATGTAAGTGTTGACTCACCACTCAGCATTTGATTCATTGGGTCTACTATGGGTGGAGTTGCTAACTGAATTTTGGCTATTTAATATAACATATGGTTGGGTGCTAATAGAAATAGATTATGAAGGCACTATCAGGTGAGTCAAATTGTACTGATGATCATGGTCTTATTCTGAGTCTCAAATCGTTCAGCCAATAGTTGGATGAAAATCATGTCATCTCCTGTCTGTGAGTATCCTATAAATATCTGATCAAGGCTGCAGGAACAGAATGTGGGACTTGGTAATCCTTTGGTCTGGTCTAGCAAGAGTCTTTAGAGATTTCTGTAGTTATACTTCCTTAAGGGGAAAAAAAACACCACCTCCTGATCCATGATCAATTCTTTTACTAAAGCTGAGTCCAGACACCTTTCTGAAGTTTCAGACAACTTTCCCAGTGTTAGATTATCTAGATCCATTTCAATTGGGTTTCAGGCCGGGTTATGGGACAGAAACTGCCTTGGTCGCCCTGTTCGACGACCTTTGCCGGGAGAAAGACAGGGGCAATGCATCCCTGTTGATTTTCCTGGACCTCTCAGCGGCTTTCGACACCATCGACCATGGTGTTCTTCTGGACAGATTGGCTGGGATGGGAATCGGAGGCACTGTTTTACAGTGGTTCCGCTCCTACCTGGCTGATCGAGTCCAGAAAGTCGTGCTGGGGGACAGTAGCTCTGATCCATGGTGCTTGCGTCATGGGGTTCCTCAGGGCTCTATACTGTCCCCCATGCTGTTCAATATCTACATGAAACCGCTGGGGGAGGTTGTTAGGTGGTTTGGGCTGAGGAGTAAGCAATATGCTGATGACACCCAGCTCTACCTCTCATTCTCTACCAATCCAGGTGTGGCAGTCACTGTTCTGAACTTGTGCCTGGACTCAATAATGGTCTGGATGAGGGTCAATAAACTGAGGCTCAATCCAGACAAGTCAGAAGTGCTGCTGGTAGGTGCCCCGCCAGATAGGTTAAAGGGCCATTTCCCTACCTTAGACAGGGTTACATTCCCCCTAAAGGACAGGGTCCGCAGCTTGGGGGTGCTCCCTGACCCCGATCTGACCTTAGAAGCCCAGGTGGACTCGGTGTCCAGGAGTGCCTTCTTACAGCTGCGGAGAATATATCAACTTTGCCCTTACCTGGATGAGCGGAGCCTGGCAACAGTCACTCATGCACTGGTAACAATCAGATTGGACTATTACAATGCGCTATACATGGGGCAGCCTTTGAAGACAGTCTGACGACTGCAACTGGCACACAACCGGGCTGCATGGCTGGTAAGTGGCGTCGCCACACGGACATATCACGCCAGTTCTGAAAAATTTACACTGGCTGCCGGTTGCTGCTCGGGCCCAATTCAAAGTGCTTACTTTGACATATAAAGCCCTAAACGGCTTAGGACCTGGTTACCTAAAGGACCGCCTTCTTCCATATGAGCCTGCCCATCCTCTAAGATCAGGCCAGGAGGCCCTTCTGAAGGTGCCATCCCTGCAAGAGGTGAGGGGGTTGGCATGTCGAAATAGGGCCTTCTCGGCTATTGCCCCCCAGCTTTGGAATGCCCTCCCTAGAGAGATCCGCCTGGCTCCAACACTCTTGGCTTTTTGGCGCTAGGCAAAGACCTTTCTGTTTAGCCAGCATTTTAATTAAACAGTATTCCCTAGCTGGCCACATGAGCAGCAGGACTTATTAATATTAATGTTTTAAGAATTGTTTTAATATATGGTATTTTATATTGTCTTTTAAAATGTTTTTAATGTTTTTAAGTTTTAATATTGTTGTACGCCGCCCAGAAGCCACTGGTAATGGTGCGGCTTAAAAATATTGTAAATAAAATAAATAGGAGGTGGGTGTATATGAAGTGAAAGGGGAAAAGGAAAAAATAGTGTGGGACAGAACCACAGATGCAGGTCCTTCTAGATAAGTTTTCAGAAAGCAGGGGTGCAGTGGGAATTTTTATTATTATATTACTTTGTTTTCAGAGAGGTAAGAGTGTAAGTTGGCTTCAGAAGCACTAAGAGTATTCAGATACCCTTATTTCATATAAATGAGTTTTATCTCAGTAATTGCACTTCAGAACTGATTCCATTGCTCTAAAAATATCACCTTTGGCCTTGAGATTCAGATATGTGTTCTTTTTGAAATGAAACACATGTGATCATATCCTTATTTACCGTGTGACAATTTGTACCTTCCAGGTGTCGATATGTGTACAGAAATGGACCATGGCTGCCAGCACACTTGTGTCAGCGTCCCAGGTTCTTTCTATTGTCAGTGTAAACCAGGATATAAGCTCAATGCAGATGGGAAGACATGTTCCAGTAAGAGTAACAGACTACTACTTTTAATGTTTAATATCAGACAGTTATTGTAGCAGACGAGACGAGAGAGATAAACATTATTTTTGCTCTGTTAGAATAACAGTCCCAAGTGCACATTGGATGGAATTGATTTTACAGTATTGCTGACCTGGAAACAAATCATAAGGTTCAGCAAAGAAGCATCTACTGTACATAATCTGGATCCCATTAGAACATGTGCCAATGTAGAAGGTAGGGTAGTATTTTTAAACCAGTAGGGGTTTACCTGCAAAAGACTAGTGCTAGAGGCAAGAGGAACCCAGAAATGAAAATGTAGATTGAGGAATGGGTAGCCTCTTATCTTGCGGTGTACTAGAATCCAAAGATATAACAAGTTGGTCTTAAAGAATTCTGCCCCCAAAACTGAATGCAGCATACAGTCTTACCACACATAAATCCATTCTAGATAAACCACTTTAAGCTGAGATTTAGGGGCAGTGGTACAGTGGTAAATTTTGAAGTGCAGATGCTCACTGTGACATTTCCCATAATGAGCTCCATAAGCAGCATCCAGAGTTGTGTGCATCTGAATCACAAATAACCTTATCAACAAATAAGTTCTAACAATGTTTGTTTTGCTCAGGGTAAGTATTTTGCAGAGCTAACAGCTCTTAATTGCCGTCCAGCATAAAGCATGCTCAGGCACTTTGCTTTACAACAGGAATCTCTTACAACAATAAGAGATTTTTTGTGTGTTTGGTTCTGCCCAGTCTGTGAGGGATTGCTGGTAAGCTCAGGGAAGCCTGGTGTAGCAGGTGATATTGTAACCCCTGTAAATCATGAAGTCCTAGGATTTCAGTTTTGCTACCCCTGCATCCACTGTATCACTGTTTAAGTGGGTTGGGATTGTTTTGTTCCAGTGACTGATGAAAAAGCATGTGCCAGAGCTCCTTGCCAAGATGCTACAAATCACCCAGAAATCAACCAGTACATCTAGATATGACTTTGACCCTCCTCTGATATAGATATTGAGGTCAATACACAGAAGTTTATTTACAGGGCAGAAATAAAGTGTGCATGCGGCACATGAATATGGGTGCTGTGCAGTTCATCTGGTTCTAAAGCTGTGCTGAGCTGTGACTGCCAGTCATTGTGGATGCATGCACTTGAGTTCCTTGTTAGCAATTCCAGTGAAAGATTTGATGGCCTAGCCTCTGTGTTCCCTTTTCCTTCTGCAGTTCTTGATGCCTGTGCTGATGGTAGACATGGCTGTGAACACCAGTGTGTTAGTTCCCAAGGCTCCTATATTTGTCGCTGCCGGGCAGGCTATCAGCTCAACCAGGACAAGAAGACATGTAGCAGTGAGTAAGCTCTGTTTCTAGCTGCCGCGGCATATTGGAGATGAGTGGCAAAGGGGCAACAGTTCCAGGTTAGGGATATTCAACAGGAAATGTTTCAACAGGTCTGGAGAGGAAATTCATTCCTTTCCCCCCACCCCCATCACTATACAGCTTCCTTTTATCTTGGTTGCAGTGGAGTGAGTGCATGGCTACAAGAGACGATCACAATGGCCAAAATCCTGTTGCTTAGTGTAGTAAATGTCACTAGAATAAGCCCATTGAATCCATGGGTTTTGGTAAGTCACATCTAAGTTTCATTGATTCAAATGGGTCTACTCTAACTGCAACTTATTTTCACATGCCAAGTCACAGTTCGAGTATTTGAATTAGTGGAATTAGTTACAGAGGAGATGACTCAACAAACCCCCATTGATTCAGTGGGTCTACTTTAGTGTGATTTACTATAGTAAGCAATATAATTTTGGTCCTGAACAAGTGACAAGGGCAGGAAGCAAAATCAGTAGTCTTATGCTTGCTCACTCACTTTCCATTTCCCTTTGGGCAAAGGGTGCAGAAGGGGAATATGCTGTCAACCCATTCTCATTTACCTCCTCTCTTCCTGAGGAGCAAAAGAGATTAGGCCTGTAGTGGTCCCTTCTGGACTGCCGGACAAAGACTGAGCAAGTTGGTGGTAACAGTAACGTGGTGACTGCTGTGGCTTTGGCTGTGCTATTACCACTTCTTGGTGTCACCTCTCACTTGTTTCAATTTGTAGTGAACAAGAAAGTGAAAGGATCAGCAGCTGCTCCACAATCCTAACCTAATATGATTGCAGAGTAGCAGCAGATGATAGCACAAATCACTGATAATAAGCCCCAGAACGGAGAATTATATGGTTCTCCAGATGTTTTTGAACTGTACCATCATCAGCTCTTTCAGCATAGCTAATCTCTATGGATCATGGGGGTTGCAGTCCAACAACATCTTGAGGACCAGTATCTTCAAATATTACTTGGAGATGGGAATTGAAACCTGTGGAGCCAAGGGAATTATTTCACAGGAGGAAGAGCAGTGGCTCCTTGCAAAGGTGAGAGCCTGAGTCTAGTTGGGTGAATAGACCCTGCAGACGATGCTTGCTATGATATGGAGGTATCTTCCCATGATGTGGATTTCACAAAGCATTTCTTGGTTCTCCTTTCTTTCAGTGATCAATTTCTGCAACTTCCGTAATCACAGTTGCCAACATGAGTGTGTTAACGTCCTCAATGGATTTTATTGCCGATGCCGTGATGGCTATACTCTGCAGTCTGATGGCAAGTCATGCCAAGGTAAGCTTTGTATGTGCTCAGCTGTGGCACAAGAGACTGACTCCAGAGACACACATATGCACACCTGCAAACAGGTGAGCAAAAACCTAGGCCATTATCCTATTGCTTGTCTGAACTTAAAGCAGACCCATCGGATCAATTGCTGAATGGTAAGACAACTCTCCCATTGAATTAATGAATTTACTTTAGTTGGAACTAGCAATGAGATACTGGCCATGGAGTACAATAGTTGCCTTTGACTAATAACTAGAGTTGCCGTATCAGTATTCTGAAAAAGTGTGAGGTGGCTCCACACTAACTAATAATAATAATAACTAATCCCTGGCATTTATATATTCTGGATTCATGGGCCAGGATTTTAAGAGAAAATTTTTCCTTAGAATGTTGAAGAATGAAGATCAGTATTTTCAGTGAAATATGTAGGTTACTATTAGTTCTTGCAGTAATTATCCTAACAGTGTAAACTTATACCTGTCTACTTAGAAGATGGTCCACTAAGCCAATTGGGACTTTCTTCGAAGTCAGCAAGCATCAGATTGCAGACTAAGTTTAGGAAATGCTAGTCATTGGATTTCATGTGGGTTAAAAGCCCATAAATGTGGGACGTGGTGCTGCTGCGAGTTAAACCACAGAAGCCTCTGGATTGGAAGGTCGTAAGATCATCAGTTCAAATCAACGCAACAGAGTGAGCTCCCGTCGCTTGTCCCAGCTCCTGCCAACCTAGCAGTTCGAAAGCATGTAAAAATGCGAGTAGATAAATAAATACCACCAATATGGGAAGGTAACGGCGTTCTGTGTCTAGTCGTGCTGGCCACGTGACCACGGAAACTGTCTACGGACAAACGCTGGCTCTAAGGCTTGGAAACGGGGCTGAGCACCACCCCCTAGAGTCACACATGACTGGGCAATTTGTCAAGGGGAACCTTTACCTTTACCTAAAAGCCCACTGGTTGGACAGTGTCATCAAAGCAACCAACATGAATTCGACACAACTCCGGGAGGCAGTGGAAGATAGGAGGGCCTGGCGTGCTCTGGTCCATGGGGTCATGAAGAGTCGGCCACGACTAAACAACTAAACAACGACAAAAAGCCCATATATGTCATCCTCATACAAGTGTCCTCTCTCTTCTCTGTGTATCCCCTATTTTCTTTTGTCCTAGTTCAGTGGTTCCCAACCTTTGATCTCAGAAGCCATCACAACTAGCTGTGCTGGACAGGATTTCTGAGAGTTGTAGTCCAAGAACATATGGGGACCCAAAGTTGAGAACCACTTCCCTAGTTTGTCATTTGTTCACTTCATCTTGGTACTCTCTGAACTTAATCAACTTCCAGAAGCTCCTGCCAGTGTTGGTCCCAATTAATGGACATTTGGAGTGTCCCTTGTCCATACAATTATGGCACCATGTGGATTTCTGAGTTGAAATCTTTAAAATGATGTGTCATATGACTCTGTTGACAAGAATAAATAATATGGGTGCTCCCAAGGGACCTCAAATTATTTCTGAGTATGTTACATAGACATGCCACTACCTCCAAAATATCCTCCAGATTTTGTGAAAATCTGAAGAAATAGTTTAAGAGAAATAACTGAGGTGCCTCCAAGGTCCTTCCCAAAGTGATTTTCATATATGGTAACCTATATTTCAAGTCATAATCTCCAAACTTGGTGAAAATCCATCCAGCTCCTTATGAGAAACTAATTGGGGTATTGCCAGGGTTCTCCAGAATGATTTTCATGTACATCCGTATTTTAAGTCACATCACCCCAGAGATGCTCTACAAATTTGATGGAAATCGATCCATCTCTTTTCATATGATACAGTAAAAATACACACAGACATGCAGGCAGAAACTTTTTTCTTGTTATAGAGATTAGGAATATGTGATGTTATTTAGGATACTTCTGTGCCAAGCACTGGAGATCGAAGTTAATATCAACGAAGAATAAACTGGTAAAATGCAACGTCATTTGGTTCTCTTTTTAAAGGTCTCTTTTAAAAATTATCTGATTTGACATTTTGTCTCATGCCAATTCTAGTGTTTCTGAGTTTCTGAATAAGGGTCTGCTCAATAATATTATCACCAATGGCACCAGTGATAATTGGGTTCTGCTTCTTTTGCTATTCTCTAACTATAGATCAGAGATTTTGCTACTGGTTCTCAAAGGGCTTGCACAACAATCTCATTGCTAATACAACATGAGATTTCCTTAGTAGAATGGGCTTGTATTTTATTGGGAAAGTCTTTGAGAGAGCCAGCCTTCTCCATCATATGGAACTAAGAGATCTTTGGCTTGTCTCACTAAATGTGCTATGCAGGCTGATGAAATGCTTCCTGTAATTTGTGTTTCAGCCAGTGACCTCTGCAATAGTATAGAGCATGGATGTGAATTTAAATGTGTCAGCACTGCAGGTTCTTACCACTGTATTTGCCCAGAGGGTCAGCAGCTACAGGCAGATAAGAAGACATGCAACAGTGAGTATCAGAGGCTCTGCTTGGTAGGAACTGCTTTTGATGCCTCTTATCATACCTGAAAATGAATCCAGGCACGACGCTGCATGAAGCCATTGCTACCAACTGTGTAACTTTAGACCTGGGCAGTGGTCATGCATATAACACCTTTAGAAAAAATAAAATAAAAAACAAGGGATGGGGCCTTTTTGAGCTAGAGCTTCTATAATCCTAGCAGGTGTTGCTAGTAGCCATGTTGGCTGGTGATTCTGGAAGTTGTAATCGTATGAGCAACTTATCCATGTTCTGCTTTATATATATTTACTTGGGAATAAGCACTCTTGTAAAACAAAGGATACTACATTTTGATGGTTGCTCAGAGTGGTATAGACTTATCAGATGGGCGGGATATAAGTCAAATAAATAAAATAAATAAATAAAATAGTTGTGGGTTTTTCGGCCTCTTTGGCTGTGTTCTGAAGGTCGTTCTTCCTGACGTTTTGCCTGTCTCTGTGGCTGGCATCTTCAGAGGACTGGAGTAGGAACTCTGTCCATGCTCAACAGATCAGATTCTGACTGTGAAAGCCTTCGAGAATACATACTACATTTTAGTAGCCCAAACCACAAAATGTGTGTCTGTAGCAATGTTTATGTCCACTCATCCCCCCTCAGCTTTGCTGCTGCCACTCTGTGGGTGATCCATTAAACTTGACTTTAAACCTGAAGTTCTGCCTTAAAATATTTCAGATACATGACAGACTGGAAAGTGTGGTGTTTGGACTGTGACCCATCACTGTTTTTGGTGTGTCCTTAGTCCCCCACCCACACCCACACCCCGCTTTGAATATATAATAGGAAGCTTTCCATCAAAATGCAGTGTGGATCGGGTAGGAACCAATACCCAATGTAAGGATGAGTAGCCAATAGAGACGGGGGTGAAATGAACGAAGAACCAAAATACCTGATGAAGCAGCTGGTTTGTGGTTTGCTTGTAATCCAATTCAGGGATCCCATTTTGCCAAAGCAAAATAACCTGATGAAGCAGCTGTTTTGTGGTTTGCTTGTAATCCAGTTCAGGGATCCCATTTTGGCAAATCAAAATGAAATGCCAAACTTTTCCCCCAATGGCATTTCAATTGCTTTGGCAAACTGGGATCGCGCCCCCCCCTTCCCAATGCCCCCTGTCATCTTGGCTTACCTGCTGCTGCCACCATTGCTGCCACTGTGCTTACTGCCCAGAGTGCCCTGATCCCTGGGTGCCATCCTTCGAGGCAGCAGCCCTGACAGGAAAGCCAGGCCACTGCCTCTGTGCATGGGCCTGCTGCCTAGATGATTGTGACGATCAGCTGGGTGGGAGATACATGCTCAGAGGCTGTGCCCTGGCTTCCTAGGTGGGCTCTAGTCAAGCTATGATCACTTAGTGTAGCATTCGGACTGGTACTAAAGCTGAGAAGACATCCTTGATCCAATTCATGAATGCGGTTTGCTGAAAAACTGGAGCACTGCTGGTATAGGATGAAAGACATCAGAGACTGATTTTGGAAGCTTGTATTTGAGTATTCCCCTCTTCCAGGCACCTTTCTGTTATTCAGAAATGTGACCAGGGATTGACCTCCAAAGAATCTATGGGGCAAGAACTGCAGGACTGAGAATACATTTTTAAACATGGGCAGCTGGGGCCCTTAAAGCACAGAAATACCCAAACTAGACCTTTAGGGAATCAAAAGATGTTTGCAGAATATGTATTTTCCTTGCTCTAGATCTGGAGGAAAGACCAATGCTAACCCATTTCACCTCCCCTTTTCTTCTTGGGTCACAGAATGCAAAGCTGGGCATGTCGATTTGGTGCTGGTGATTGATGGGTCCAAAAGTGTCCGGCCTCAGAACTTTGAGTTGGTGAAGCAGTTTGTGAATCAGATTGTGGACTTCCTTGACGTGTCCCCTCATGGTACCCGTGTGGGAATGGTCCAGTATTCCAGTCGTGTGCGCACAGAATTCCCTCTCAACAAATACACAACTGCAGCTGATGTCAAGAAAGCAGTGCAGAGGGTGCAGTACATGGAGAAGGGTACCATGACTGGACTGGCCCTCAAGCACATGTTGGAACATAGCTTCTCTGAGACCGAAGGTGCCCGACCACTTTCCCAGAATGTACCCAGAATTGGCCTCGTCTTCACCGATGGGCGGTCTCAGGATGACATTTCAGAGTGGTCGAGAAGAGCAAAGGAATCAGGTGAGGACATGGTAGGAAAAGTGTGAAAGAGAGGTGACATTGTGTTGGAGCGATATTTTTTCCATAAATCTACAAGTAAGGTTTGGCTCCCTAAATATCTTTGATCAGTTACAGCTTAGGTTCATTAACTGTGCACAGTTTGGTTTTCAACTCCATTTATCTAGAAGATCAAGACTTCAGATTGTGTGGCCTTCCAGGTGTTTGTGGATTGCAACTCCCATCCTTCCTCATTGGCCATGTTGTCTGGAGCTGATAGGGGTTGTAGTCCAGCAACATCTAGAGAGGAACAGTTTCTACAGCCTTACACTAGATATTAATCTATAGCTTAGCTATCTAGCCAGTAGTAAAATGTATTAACTGCACTATGGTGGTAAGCAATAGAAAGCTGTGGTTCTTATTACTGGAAATAAACCACAATGAATTATTCTTTAGTTACTGTTCTTACAATCTTTATTGGAGAGTGTCCTGCTCTGAGCGTAAGGGAAATTGTGTAAGGTTTTCCTCACTCTGCAGAACCTTTATACATGTGGCTGACCACACAACCAATCTTGCTACCAGTGAGACACTAGGCAAACAACAAGGAACCTGTCAGAACGTGGGGAATGATCACGCCCTTGAATAAACTTGTAACACAAAAGGATATTTGCCATAATTTTTAAAAAATATTTTTATTTCATGTATGAATATGAGAAGCTGCCTTTTCAAGAGATCAGGCTGTCCATTTAACAGGAGTGGGAGACCTGTAGCCATTCAGATGTTGCTGGATTCTCATTGCTTTCAAAACCAGGCAGTATGGATAGTGGGAGTTATATCCGCACAATATTTGAAGGGATGACATTATCTAGACCAATGCTGTCTACAGCTCAGAGTGAGATCTTTCAGCTCATCTGCTGCTTGGTACCTTTTAAACTGGAGATGAGAGGAGTCAGACTGGATGCTTTCTGCATGCAAAACCTTTATAAAAAGCTGCGACTCCATCCACATCTACTTAGCATTAACAGTTCCAGAGCTGGAAAAAGTTACTTTTGATCTACTGCTCCCAGGGAATTCTGGACACTATAATCCAAAGAAATAATTTTTCAATGTATTCGCGAAGGTGAATAATTTTTCATCCTAATGATCAAGTTAGTCCCTTGACAATCTATACTACACTTTTATATAAGTTTTATGCTGTTGGAATGCTATGGGTTTCCTAAATAATCCTTGGAGTTGTAGGTTTGGTAAGAGTGCTGAGCAGTTCTAGTTTCTTCCTCCAAGAGAACTGAGCATGACTGTTTAAACCAGTGTGACATTTGTAGAGTAGATAAGTCCCATGCCACTCTGTAAGCACACTGTCTGGGATGGCAGTGTCTCTGCCTTTAATGGCCTGAGTATAATGTGGCCAGAAAAAAACTCCCCCACTCTTGGCAGGCAAACCCAAAGTTAGCTGGAGCATTCCAGCCAATTGATCTGCCTCTGTGTTTCTGGGCAGTGTCAGGAATTTGTGGCTAATTAGTGAATTCTCTGGTTTCCTCTTGTTATTGCCAAAGAGGAAAATGCACAGGAGTCTCAGATTACTGTGTCTTGAAAAGGCAAAGCTGTTATACCCTTTTCTACCCAGTTAGCAACCTCCAAGTGATGGGAAGAAATGAGGATACTCTGATCTTTATGATCTGAAGACAGGGTTTTGCAGTTAAACCCAGACAAAGGAAGACGGGGAGGAGCAAATGAGTTCACCCTTTGCCAGTGTTATGTCTGGAAGCTGCTGCTTACTTCTCATTGAATCGATGTCTCTTTTTCTATGGTTCAGCCACCCAGATCCAGACTTCCTTATGCTTGCTCTTTCCCATGATAAGTATAACAGGGCAGATCAAAGTGGACACACAATACTTCATTAAGCCAGATATTACTTAATCCTGTATTCTCCATTCTACAGCTTGCTCTGGCATAATATTCTAGTTAATTGTCTGAATTTGAGGGTAATCGCCTACAACCCTGAAAGCTTAGCTGACTGTAATTTATAATGTGTTCCTTTCTGACTCCATTCCATCTACTTCCTCCTTAATGTTCTTTTTTAAAACTCTGATTTAAAATTCTTATATAAATTTAGATATTTAAATACCTGCTTTAGTTTTAAAAATCCAAAATACACCTTTATAATGAACAACAAAGGCCTGCATTTCCTTGAAAACTAAGAACAGGATCTTGTTTGGGTAAACCACTCACACAATAGTTGATGGCTTGCACAAGAAGGCATTCTTCAAATTTGCACAAGGAGATATCCAGTATGTACTTATGCAAGTATAGGCCCTGTTCTTATAATATCTGTTTGTGCAACATCAAGCTTGAGGCCACATGGAAATAAATAGGCATGGCACTACAGTACTCTCCACCTGCTATGAACAGGATTCCAACCACCCAAACGTGTTATAGCATGAGGCTTTGTGAGTGATACTATGGCTGCTCCTTTGGCACTTATAATTGCATTTGTCTGAGTTGAAGCATTTCTAGACCTAATATCTCTTTCTGTTTTGCTCATGCATGTGTGCACACACAAAAACATATCCCTTCCTGAAGCATTTTTTCCAGTACATTTTGGTACAAATGTTTGTGTAAAGAACTTTATCTCCGAATTCATAGAACTGTGAAATCCAAAAAATCCACATATGATGTTTGATGGTGTAGATCAGGTCAATTTGTATAGGAAACTGAAAATATACACTCTCTCAAACATCCTTACTAAAGTTTTCTCCTTTGATCTATGGAATTGCATCAGGACAAAAGGTTTTCTATTATTGCATAGCTCAACTGGGTGACAAATTTTCTCCTCTTCTCATAATACTAAACTCGGGGCTTAGAATATTACTATTAAAAATAGGTTGTTTTTCTTAATATTCTGTAGCATCCTGTTGTTTATTTATTTTTATTTTATTTTATTAGATTTCTATCCCGCCCATCTAGACCAAAGGTCTACTCTGTTGTAAATTATGATTGTCACTGTTTCACTCACAAAAATAATTCGTTGTATTGTTCATTAGTGACATACTAGGCTATTGTTCACACATCAGAGAAAATGCTGATAATACACTCAGGTTCCCCCTAGTGCGTTTTTAAAAATTATTATTACTTGGTAACAACAGAACAAAAATGTACACATACAGTATATATCAGCATGGTGTAATTGCATATCAAAAGGATGTGAAGGCTCTGATTCAACAAAAGAAAATCCATCTCAGTAGGAACATTCTACCAGTTCTTACCTTGCATTTTCAAAATTATTTTATTAATGGATCTAGTCAACAAACTTCAGAACTGAAACGGCCAAATCAGAAACAACCAATAGAAAAGGTAAAATGCAGCAATAAAAATCATAAGTGTGAATAAAACTCATTATGATAAAGACAAGATTATTTTAACTGGATAAATTTTCAGCTTGAGTCTTCATTGTTATGATAAAGACACGATTATTTTAGCTGGATAAATTTTCAGCTTGAGTCTTCATTGCTTTTCATAAAATTTGATTGCACAATGTGTGATAGCTGTGTATGTCAGACAAAAAGAAAGAGATACAGTATAACATTTTGGTGTCTTTGAAGGAGAGCCAGAGTAGTGTAGTGAATTACACAATGTGTGATAGCTGTTTGTGTCAGACAAAAGGAAAGAGATATAACATTTTGGTATCTTTGAAGGAGAGCCAGAGTAGTGTAGTGGATAGAGTGTTGGACTGGGATGCAGGAAACCTCGGTTCAAATCCTGTTGGTCTGGGATGCAGGAAACCTCGGTTCAAATCCCTGCTCGGTTATGGAAGTTCATGTGGGTGGGTGTGCATATTCCCACTTTTCCCCTTGGACTACGTGCCCCTCCTCTGTCTTAATTGCTAGCTCAGGGAGGAATATGTAGCCAAATACATAAGGAAACTGCAACTGTTGTTGTTACATGCCACCAAGCCGCCTTCAATGTATGGTGACTCTATGAATGAGTGACATCCAAAATGTTGTGTCCTCAGCAGTCCTGCTCATCTCTTGTAAACTCAATCCTTTGGGTTTCTTTATGGAGTCAATTCATCTCATACTAGTTCTTCCTCTTTCCCTGCTGCTTTCAACTTGGGTGCCTCCTTAGATTAATCAGGGTGCCCATCTGGAACCAGATATTGCATAGAAGTTATTTTTTGGTGCAAGGCAGAAAAGGCATCTCTTATCTATCTTCAGCAGTTAACGATAACAAACCAAAGAACAAACAATTAGATGCCTTTTTATCATAACCTCAGTTTTCCTGTAAGAAAGGAATGCCCATTTTCTCTAGCAAATACCAGCAAATGGATAATAACACAGTAATAAAAAAACCAAAGAACAAATAATTAGATGCCTTTTCATCATAACCTCAATTTTACTGTAAGAAAGGAATGCCCATTTTCTCTAACAAATACCAGCAAATGGATAATAACACAGTCGATATAAATTACCTCTCTGTTTAGCAAAAATATTTTTGCAGTTGACTTTCAGTCAGTAGCAAATTGTGTGCACTTACCCCAGGTAGAGGGCAGCATTCTAGTGCCACTTCATGTGTTTACAGTTTTGCTGCCTTCTTACATGTAGAGAGCAGCAGTCTAAAGAAATTAGCCCCACCTTCCATGTATTCTATCAAATGAAGTTCGGATGTCAAGTTCCTAATGCTGGAAAAGTAACTGAACACATTAATAGTGCTGCTCATCACTTTTTTATTTTTTGCTACTTGCTATTCTAAGGATTAATGCTAGCTTGATCCTACTTTACTTTTTAAAATAAAGTACTGAAAAGCAAAACAGAAATGACCTTCCTATGACTTCTGGTTTGAGCAGGAGGGAGTGACATGGTCCACAACAGATTGCAGGCATGCAAAACTGGCCTCCAACTATCTCTGACATTTAACTGGGTCATGGCCACCCTGCCACACCATCTAATAGACTATGACCCAACACACTATTTTACAAAGCTGGAGGTAGACATCCAACCACTTCCATTTTCTTTCTCTGTGTGTATGTTTTGTCATTTTGGACTCTGTTGAGAGCTCCAAACGTCCCTGGGACATTAAATTTGGACTCTGGACTAGATGAAGTTGCCCAGGGCAGGTATAATTAATGTGCCTAATACCTTCATCTTAGGTGGTACAGTCAAGGTCTTTTTCTGTTGTGCAGGAGCACCTTCCATAGTACTGTACTATTTATATAATATAGAAGGTTAAACTTCAATCTGTTATGCTGCTGCAGGAATAGTCATGTTTGCTGTGGGCGTTGGGAAAGCTGTTGAGGAAGAATTGAGAGAAATTGCTTCTGAGCCAGTGGATCAACACTTCTCGTATTCGGCAGATTTCAACACCATGACTCATATCGTTGACAATCTCAAACTCAATATCTGTCCTGGTAAGTGATGATGTCATCTGAGATAGAGTGGGAAGAATCTTTTTTAAAAATCTGAACAAACAGGCGTTTAAAAGATATCCAGAGTCTGAGAAACGTACTGTTTTAAACTACAAATCCCAAAGTTTCTATTTTTTGTAACATCTACTGTATGGCTAGCAAAGAATTATTTTTATGACTTCTTTCAGGTCATAAGTGAAGCCCCTGGACATTTTTAAACCACCCAGATAAAAAGTTAATTTTATTTTTTTAAAATCTGTCAATTTACTAACTTGCCCATGCATTGTGTAGAGGTCAGTGTGGAATCAGGAGCCTCTGGTGGTACTGAGTATTGCCAGAAACTACTTGATGATGTTTCTGATGCATTTTTATCATATTTCAGAGGAAGGCAAAGGGGAAACTGAGTTCCGTAACCCATGTGAATGTGAGGCCCTTGTGCAATTCCAGACGAACACTCTTGCAATCCTGGAAGATCTCACTGATAAAAATATCCTTTTGGTGCCATCTTCACAAACCAAGTTATGCAGCAAGTTGAATTTGATGGAGATGCTGCTTTCATTCCTGTTTTGGGAGGATTTGGAACTTGCATTATGTGTAGGGTGTTGGAGGATATATTCTCACAAAGAACATTCGGTGGCTTGATGCCAAATGGGGAGACGTGCTCAGGGTTGTGCCTTAACAAAACTGTATAGCTTACAGTGCTCATCTAGGTGTTACTTCCTAGAAAAATCATTGCCATGAAGAATTTGAGGTGAAGGGATGTTTATAGACCACAGCTTGTAAAAGTTATTTATTTGGACTGCAGCTGATTAAATCCCGCACCTAGCATGACTCATGGCCATCCTGGCTGAAGGATTTTGGGAGTTATAGTCCAGAAAAGCAACTCTTCGAAATCCAGGCAGCTGGATCAGGAACAAATTTCCATGGATGACTATACAGGGAATTTCCACTCTTTTTAATACTGCCAGGCTACAACAGACGGTTGAACTAGATATTAAGAAGGACATTTATTACAGTCATTTCTCTTGTGAGGCAGCTAGCTTGCAAATCACATCAAAATGATAAAACCTATGAAAGGCTGAGGCCATGAGACAGAGTGAGGGCATTAACTCAAACAACAACAGTTGGATGCTATGAGAGGTACACCAATGGCACCCTCCCTGACAATTGCCATCTATTGCAGGACTGAGATATATATTCCCGTCAATCTGTATTAGTTACTCTGAGCTGTCAGAGGTGAAGGATTTTTGTCCCACCTCCAGTGCTAGTTGGGTTCTGCATTTGAAATGTGTGCATGCTCATGAAAAACAATCTTATCCTCCACCTTAGGCAGCAGCATATTTTTCACCAGCCCTGATGAAAATCCCTATGAACAGGAGTAACAAACAAAAACACATAAGGATCTTTTCCACCAGATCACTGATCTCCCTGTGGAGGGTAGGGAGGCTCCAGATGAAACAGGAACAGGTGCTTTGTGTTATTCATGTGTGTCTCCTTCTCATAGAGCAGTTGATCCCATGGTGGTCGTGAGGGGAGGCAGAGAGATCTTTACCTGGCTGTCTGCTTCCCAAACATTTTTCTCCAGTTTACTAATATATAACATCTGTATTTTGTTCCATGATTTCCTTGCATCCAAGGCAGAATTAGCTGGTGGAGAATAGAAGAGAGTTGAGAAGGCTGTTCAAAACAGGATAGCTGTTGGTTTCCAGAAGGCCATCTGAAGCTAGTCCACTACAGAGACAGCGTCAAAAATGGTAGTCATGTGTGAGGAACTCATGACTGGCCCAATGCGAGAGGGAGCCATACTGTAGATAGTGCCTAGGCTAGGAAGGGAACATTAGATGAAGAAGCCATAATGTTGTCCTTGTGGGTGGGGGGGAAAATACTACTGAATTGCCTTCTGGGCTTAATCTGAAAGAGCACTGCATGAAAAGGTCCAGTCTCTCCAAAGGATAGACAACTCTGGCTAGTCTAGGAAGTCATTTTTCCCCCTTAGCCTAGGACTTGTTCACACAAACTGAAAATACAGAAAAATTAAAATTTGAAATTCATTTTGAAAAATAGGTCTTTTGATTGTAAAAATTATATGGGAAGGCCCTGCAGCCTGTTTTTAAAGGGGAACTGAAAACTTTGCTAGAAAAAGAGGAGGAGGAGGAGGAGGAGGGTGGAGGACCCGTATGAAGAGTTTTGGAGTCCATGTGGGGGGTCAGGTTTCCATCTAGTCCTCCTGTTCCACCTTTTGTGCCTGGAATGGTTTTGTGGAGAGAGACAATGCTTGTTCTTTGTCTCAGATAAATCATCTTAGGCCAACTGTGATTTATATCTTGCTGGAAAGGCCCTCAGTTTAAAAGAGAAAACAATCCTTGCTTACAGTCTTAAAGTCTACAAAGACATGATGTGAAAGGAAAAGGAGATGAGGAGGGAAAAGAAAAATAAGAAATTTCAGGCACCAGTTCTTAATCTAAGGAGGTTCTCTTTCTCTTCAGTTATTGTGTGCTCCATTTCCTGTCTTGTTTTCCTTAATAAAACTACTCGCTCAGATGACTGCCAGACTTGACCAGTTGGAAAATCGTATTGCCAATAAAAAGTGATCACCATGAACAGCTGCTATACATTTGGGGCACAGAAACATCCTGCAACTCATCATTGGCATCCCTAAACCTGTTGTGAATTGTTGTCTGTTCTTGTCTTACAGGATCTTGAGGGGAAATAGAATCGGTCCCTTCTTCCCTAGGAGTGTGTGTGTGTGTGTGTGTGTGTATGTGTGTGTTTTAGGTTAATTAAAAGAGCCCTAAAGTTAGAATGAAAGGTTTTTGTTGCTTTTTCTGCAATGAATGGTCGGGCTGAACTGTGACAAAAGTGGCTCGGCCCCACCTGGTGGGCACTTTGGAGAATGAAAATAAGATAGGAGACATATTATCTTCAAAGAGCTGCTGGGATTAGTCAGCAATTCATGGATTCTTTCTTGAGGCACCCAGGAAGCAGAAAGCTCCATTCTTTGGTAAATTGTATTTTAAAGCCAGGCTATGGGAAGGAGAGGCAGGATGGGCATTCAACATGCTCAGACGGTGTTAATGTCTTTCTTCTTACCCTTCTCTGTGAACGGCAGCACCTGATTTTTTCAGTATAAAGTTTTCTACTATGGTTGCAGACAAATGCCACCTTTTAGAAAAGGAAATATAATTTCAAAGAATAAATAACTAGAATTTTTTTTCCAGAAGTTGACCTTTGGGACGAGAACACTCTTTCGACAGCCCCAGCTTGTTTTGACAGTATTGATGGAAAACCGATCATTAGCCCTCCCCCTTTAAAAACAAACAGTACTTTGTAATTTTTATATATGTATGTGTATATATCTTTTTTTCTGAAAAAAAGTGTGATAGTTGTACTTTTGAACAAACATCTTTTTTATTATATGTAAATTTTTATCCTGTCTAATAAACTTGCTGAAGATTTCTTACCTGCCTATGTCTTCTTTCCTCTAGGAATCTTGAAAACGAATATCTCAGTTGGCATTTGTAGACTAAAAATCTAGTCCCACCCCACAGCTCTATTGCTTAATGGCTACAGAGCAGGATCTAGCACAGACCTGTTAGGATCAGCACAAGGGGGCATGTGTTCTGAAGCTACTTAAAGGCAACACTACCAGACACAAATGCTTATGCTGAACAGGCCGGTCCTACCATTGGGCAGAGTGAGGCGGCTGCTTCTGGATGCAGATTTTAGAGTAGCTGAATGGGGACTGTAGCGGAACCCCCACATCATGCCTGTCCGTCATTGGAAGCTCAAGGGTCCCACATCATGCCTGTCCATCATTGGAAGCTCAAGGGGAAGAGCCAATGAGAAGACACGAGGGGCGGAACCAGGGTCATGTAATGAAATGTTAGGAGAACAGTATTGTGTGTACAGAACAGCCTGGCCTGCATTCCTTTAGCTGTCTTCACATTCTTGCAATGAGAAAACACGAGGGGCGGAACCAGGGCCATGTAATGAAATGTTAGGAGAACAATACTGTGTGTACAGAACAGCCTGGCTTGCATTCCTTTAGCTGTCTTCACATTCTTGTGAAAAATGTCATCTTGTGATGACCTTGTCCTTGCTCCAACGCTGAAGCACAATGCTTTGGTAGGTTGCATTGGGAGCACCATCTTTTCTTTCAGAACACGAGGGGCGGAACCAGGGCCATGTAATGAAATGTTAGGAGAACAATACTGTGTGTACAGAACAGCCTGGCTTGCATTCCTTTAGCTGTCTTCACATTCTTGTGAAAAATGTCATCTTGTGATGACCTTGTCCTTGCTCCAACGCTGAAGCACAATGCTTTGGTAGGTTGCATTGGGAGCACCATCTTTTCTTTCAGCCTAGGCAAGCAAATGCCTTGAGCCAGCCCTGCTGCTGAAATAGCAACACTATTAAGGTATGCTGCTCCTGCACTCTGAAGAGCCGCCCAAATGCCTGGAAGATGCATGAGGCTTGATCTACATACACAGGAGAATGAGGCTGAGGTGGCAGCACTTGTCAAATACCTGAAAAGCAGTAATAGAAGAACATAGTCTTGGCTATCTCAGAGGACATCTAATGGGATTAAGTTACAAGAGGCAGATTCCTGCTGAAGATATTTCCTAATGGCAAAAGCAGTGCAACAGTGGAACCAGTTACTCAGAGGAATAGGTGGGCTCTCCTTCCTGGTGATCTTCAATCAGAATTTTGAGTCCATAAGGACTAGAGTTGCAGTTGTTGACAGACCAAGAAGCTTAGCTCAGGTCCAAGGAGCTGGCTTTCCCACTCATGCACATAGCAAATATGTCAGGGATGGCTTGAGACAGCCATGTCCCCACCCTGAATTAAATGAAAAGATAAACTGATACCAGTAATCAGGACAGTCGTGGAAACAAATAGCGTGAGAAGTTTCAAAATCTGTTTTTTGCTCTGCTTAATATTAGTAATCATTAAAGAAGCGGGAAAAGACCATTGCAGATAGCGTGAGGAAAGACTTCATGAGAGTGCCCAATTAGCTTCTTTTTTTTTTAAAGTGTGCATTTGTATTTCATCCATCCAGGAAACAATATCTTTCTTGTTCTTTAAAACGAATTACTGCACTTATGTGGCTTAACATAGCCACTGAATAAAGTGAGATTTATTTTCAATTCAATGGGAGCGATATCAAGCTGTAAGACGCAAATTGACATCCAAACAATTACCTGTGCCCCCTTTTCCCCCCCTTTCCAGATAGGAACACAAAAGCGGTTCATTCCTAAGAGTTTAAACGTCTTCCATAAAAGAACAATGTATAATTTACACAGAAGTGTATTTTCCTGAACTCAGTGGGATGTGCTTCTAAGGAACGTTTTGCCTCACTCATGTCATATAAGGAAAAATGTACATGTCTGAAAAAAAATCCTTTAAAATGTACATAAAGGTATATTTTGCAGATGTTGTAAGTCTGCGTACCCTTCCCTGCTTGTTCCTTAGCATAACATCTCAGAGAGCAGTGAGGGGCCAGGTTCATAAATTTTTCCTGAAATTTCCTCTCTTGAGGAATTACAAGAAATAAACTTGTTTTCCTTCCCCACCCCTTATTTCTGTACACTGAGGGACTGGACAATTGAAGTATTTGACTATTCTGATGAATGAGAGCTTGTGAAAGGAGGCACACGCCCCTAGTAGAAAATCTGAGGCATAAACTATTCACCCATGCCCAGAACAATCCTTGTTTTCACAGGTGAAATACTGAATGGAACATTAAATCCCTATGGCTTCCCAATGGGATGGATGGTGTTGGTTGATGATACCACACACATTGCCTCCACTCCACTCCAGGGAAGAAGGGAAGGAACCTAGTGAATCAGAGCTGTATGGATTGATTGTTGGTAGCTCTGAATCAAGTAATTCATAGATCACACAAAGTGGAAATAAATTACATTTTGGGCTAAGAGAGAAAAAGAAAACAGAAAGAAAAGTAAAACCTAAAGCAGTTTGTGTGAATAAACACAGGTGAATATTTGCTTATTTTACAACAATCAGCTCTTTGTTGCTTGCTCCATTCTGAATCCCCTTCCAGTGGTTCTAGAGCCATAAACACATTAGTGAGGAATTTTGTGCAGTGATGGCTGAAAGAGAGGGGCAAGTATATGAGAAGTCACAGGACTGGAACTACTTGAATGCAAAAGCATAGGCTCTGAAAGGGAAAGCAATAAAGAAAAAAAGAAATAATGCCACTGACGATGTGCAAAGTGACTCCTGCTTCCTTCAGCTTCCCTCCATAGATCTCTTGATTAAAAGTATGTCGTTCAACAGGATACCAGATCCATTAAGGGATAGGTGGATCTGTCTGATCTGCCATCTATGATCATTCTCCGTGTATTCAATTAGTCTCTTTCCCATCTGTGTTTTGGCAATCTGTTACTGTTTTTACATCCATTTCCTAAAATTCACATCCATTTATGTATACTATTTATTCTAATATATGCAGTTGCGCACAAATCTCTCTCATATATATGCATATTTAGACCGTTAAAAGTTTTCAGGAAAGATTAGGTTGTCTGTCCAGCATCTTAGAGCAAAGGTGGGTAACTGCAGCCTCCCAGAAGGTTTTGGGCTTTCAAATACATCAATTTCTTACCATGGCTGAGTTTTGAACAACAACAACAACAAAAACAGTGGAGGGCCACACTTGTTCACCTGTCTCTTACTGAATCCTACCTAGCAGCAACTTGGCAACGTGCCTTCTCTATGGTTGTACCCATATTCTGGATTTGACAATTATCTTTCCTCTTTTGATGCATCTAGAGCCGACAATCTTATGCTTTTGACCTTTCTTTGAAACTTCTGAAAGCATTTTAATTATATTAGTTCTTCCCAACCATTAATTGACTACATTGTGTGAAGTTCTGTCTTACATAACATTGCAATATTCTTGCATATCTGTAATTTGATCTCTGAAGCCTGAGGGTGGTGGCATAGTGGGAACATATGTTTACCCATGTGGTCCAAAGAGAGGATTTCACCTCTCTTATCTGCCCATCGGGCTGCTCATTAGCCAAGCCAGCCAGCCATGCCAATCAGCCTGATTAGACAGGCCATGGGGAATTTTCCAGTACCTAGAATGAGTCATATTATGAGATCCTGGGAAGATGGAACCATGCAGAAAGAGATGGTGGAGTCCCACTTCTCTCCATTCCAACCCCCTACAGGGAGTCAGATGACCTACGGACATAAATATACAAAACAATAATTACATAAACATTCCTACAGGCCTTTTGTGGATCTTGAATGCTGATTTTAGGCCTGTAGCCTGAAGAGGGCTCTGTCCAAATAATGTTGTGGTCCCTTAGTTACTCAAGAGAAGAGAGCCTCATTTGGTGAGAGATTCCAAGTCCTCAATGAACACTGAAAATGGCCTACAGTTCCTTGTGGAACATGCTAACAAGTGTGAGTCCCTTTGAGTGGCATCCTGGGGAATATTCTAAGGATTATGGTGCCAATGAAGAAAAGAATACAGAATACTAGAATAACATCTGAATCATGATGATTTGTGTATGATTATTCAGATGTTAAGTTCCAAGTATGCATGCAGGGTTGCCATAAACTCTAGTTTTCTAAAGTTTAAGGGCAAGTGGTCCATGCAGCTGGTTATACTCCCTTAAGCAGGCCACACCTTTTACTTGGGAAACACACGTAACAGAAAGTTAAGATTTTAATCTCAGGTAAGGAGAGTAAGAAACTCTGCTGTGGTTCTGAAAAATGCCTGTGAACAAGGTTTCGGCTGCCCTGTTTCTGTCAAAGAATAGAAACATCTGTTTGTAAGAGCAATGCTTTCCTTAGGCCATGAAACTGGCATCTAGGTCAGATTAAGAAACAGAACGGCTGGGACATGCAATGCTGCAAAGCTGTATCTAACTGTTTCAAAATGAAGGCTTCTTGGAGGCTTAAACTTGGCAGTCCTACAAGAGAGCTCAACTAAGGCACCTTTAATTAACAAATATAGTCATTGCATTTGATTATAAAAATAATTGTGCCCTGTCAAGTCAATTCTGATGTATGGTAACTCTTTGCAGGGTTTTCTAGATAGAAAGTATTCAGATGTGGTTGTTGTGGGTTTTTCAGGCTCTTTGGCCGTGTTCTGAAGGTGCTGTCCTCTGAAGATGCCGGCCACAGAGACGGGCGAAACGTTAGGAAGAACAACCTTCAGAACACGGCCAAAGAGCCCGAAAAACCCACAACAACCATTAGATCCTAGCCGTGAAAGCCTTCGCGAATACATATTCAGATGTGGTTCATCATTCCCTTCTTTTGGGGCATCTTGGGGTTATGCAGCTGGCCCAAGGCCACACAAGCTGACTCTTTAGGATGCACATTGGGGAAGTAAACTCCTAACCTCTATGTAGCTCTGCGGCTCGATACCTATGTCACTAAGCTGCATTTTATTTGATACATACTAACAATGTATGAGATAAT